CACATGTAGTACCTATATATGTAATATCAAAGCAATTGCACTTGCGGTTTTTAACAAGAAGTCGAAAATATCACTTTTTACCAAAAATGACAAAAATATTCACCAAAATTAGAGAATTGAAGATATCACATGAAATGAACAAACCTAAGAGAGGTCTACCCATGGTACATATACACCAAGTATCAAAGCATTCAGGCTTGTAGTTTTCAAGAAGAAGTCGAAAAAGTAAAACATTGACACGGACGACGGACAATCACTCATATGATAAGCTCCGCTCGACAAAGTCGACAGCGGAGCTAAAAAAAGCAGGCGATCCAGGCAGAGCTCGCTAGACTTGATCTCCATTTGATGCGGAGAAAAAGAAGAGTGATTGTACAGCCATCTATGGCGCCGCCATATGGGCTCAGTCCCCTGACCTAGATTCTATCTCTCCATCACTGGCAGAATCGCTGATTAATGCCTACAGTTCAAAATAGTCATTTTGTTAAATATGATTTTTCGGAGAAAGATGCGCTGGGTGACATTGTACTTTTCAATCCAGCAAGAAAAAAAATATATCAAATTTTCTTTCGTTTTGGGTGGTCCAACTGCCGGTGTTGAAAGTCAGTGTAGGTGGATTTTTCAATGAAAATATAAAATATAAGTCCCCAAAAAATATAATTATTTTTAAATTTTGAACCCCAAATAAGGGCCCACCTATGAAATCGCCCAGGACGATTTTTCGGATGGGCGAACTTACGGCAGCATCCAGTAGTATGGTCAAAAAGGAAGATGGCTGCCAGTCAGACATCTTTGATCAGATTGTAAAACAAATTGTCATGGACATGTAATCTAAAATGCACAATATATGTATCAAAATTGAACAAAAACTGATAAAGCATGTACAAAATACCACATTTTCAAAGATCCAATGGCGAAGTAAATCATCATAGACATGTATCCTAACATGTATAATGTATATACCAAATCTGGACAAAAACTGACAAAGCATGCATAAGACACCACATTTTCAAAAAACAAAATGGCTGCCAGTCAGCATCGACTCGGATCGACGGATGGATGTATGGATGGATGGACGAAAGGTCAGACAGACGGAATGAGACCGACTTATAATATATAACAAATATAATTTAATAAACATGACACATCCATTGTTTCTCAATTCTTGAGATTAATGATTAATGATTAAAATTAATAATTTCCATATCATATTATGCAATAAGAAGTTAGAGCACAAATAAATAGAATGAATTTTAAATTATTTTTGGAACATCATGAATTAAAAGGATAAATTTAATAATTAGTGTTTGTAACAGTTTGTATGGCAATAGCAGGACACATGTTTTGTAAAAATATAAGTAACCTTCTATTGCTGATAGAACCCCACACTTGGTCTATGATACCTTACATATGGTTTTCAAATAGACATCACAAATATTTATTTTTACTGAAAATTACCAAAATACTCAAAATATTAAAATTAGAAAATGTACTGTAAATACTTCAAAATATTTGAAAACATGACATGACATGTCATGTCATAGCCCCTGCACAGAAAATAATTTAAAACTGATATTGAACTGGGTTTGTGTCAGAGTGAATTTATTCATTATGAGCTGTACTAAAATCTTGTTATTAATTGTTCAGAATTGATGTGGAATAATTTGGGGGGATGGGGTAAAAAAATATAAATTGTCTCAGAAAGCCAAATAAATAACTTGTGAACAATTACCTGTCCCTGTACCAACTTTGAACAAAACTGGATAACATGTCTGAGAAAAAGCTGGTAACGGCTAGAAAAAGCTTCAGATCCGGCGGGGGCTAATTATTATACATCTGTCACAGTAAAGCCATAGTTACAGCGTGCCGTAATTTTGCAGTATTCACTGGGTATTCTCATTCTACCATATTAGGAAACACAAATTCCAAATATGGAACGATTGCGCGTGTAAGCGTCCTCTAATAATAAAAAACAAACATGGCTGCCCCAAGGGTTTCACTGAACCACAAACAAAGAAGTTTGTTAAATCTGTTCTAAATCTTTTGGGTTTCGGCATTCCCATGATGTATTCCTAGGAGGGAAATATGTACATACATAATAATAATAAGGTTATTACAAGGATACCGCAAGTATGCACTTAGAGAGTACGTGGTCGCATCAATACTCCTGCTGTACTGTCTTAATGCATAATTTGCAGTATCCTCGTAATTATCCCATATTACTAACAGATTATTACTACCTGACTGACTACCTTATATGTTTGGATATTTAGAGTAGTATCAAATTCTCACGTCCGGTTCGGTTAGACATAAAATATACAAATAGAATATTTACTTTTAAGATGTAATTTGGGGTATGTGTTGGTTCTTGGATATTTCAGCTTTGTCCTTCTGTACTTCGTTTAGTAATTTAGACTTCCCAGATTGCGTAAAAACAAATATCGGTAGTTTCGGATTTTGTCACGAAAAATGCCTGGGCTAAATCATTTGCTGAAGGACAGCCGCTTAAGAGATGTACACTCTAACTATGAACCTAAAAGCGTTAGGCACCCCAACAAAAAATAGGCTCGGTAATTATTAGCCGAGCAACAAATTAGAAGTACATGTATAGTATACAATACTTGCTCAAGTGTGTCAAGGCCAAGATAAATCTGTATGTGTTAAATTTTGTAGCTGAAATTAGAAAATTTCACAACAAATTGGTATTGCTTTAAGCAAGCAGTGTAGTCAGCAATGCTGTATGTGGGTGATCACTGTATGAATTGTCTAATCCTTGTTCATGTAGTCTTTTTGTGTTTATTCTGTCTCACAGAGAACTAGCCCAGATACCAACCTGCCATATATAAAGTTCAAAAGTTTTGTTTTGGACAAAAAATATATAGAACAAAATCACTAACAACAAAAAATTGAAGATAAAACCACAACATCTACAAGACACAGTATTAGCCCATGTACCTGCATGCTTAATATGAAGTCAATATGACGTAATATTTGCAATCAACACCTTTTGAACAAATTACCATCTTCAACCAATAAAGAACCTTCACACCTCAAATTAAAACTAACAATCTAGCAGTTTGAAAAAAATTCTTGAAAATAGTATTTCTGCCAAAAAAAATAGCATAACTCCACTTTATGGTTGACATGAAATCTCTCAAAAATTATGATTTGGACAAAAAAAAGAAGAAATTCACTAAAAATAGAAAATTGAAGATAATGCTACCACATCAACAAGCTACACAGAGGACCAGCCAAGGTACCTACATGCTTAATAGCAAGTCAATCTGACTGACATTTTTTGAGAAATTGATGAAAATATCAATTTTCAGCTTTTTTGACCCAATTTCCCGATTTTTTGATGAATCACTTCTGTTGAATAAATTATCATTTTCAACCAATAAGGAATCTTCATACCAAAAATCAGAATTGATTAGTGATTACCTAGCAGGCAATGCATTAGGTACTCCTAGGGCCCATTAGTGATTACCCAGCAGGCAATATGTTAGGTATTCCTAGAGCCCATTAGTGATTACCCAGCAGGTAATGTATTAGGTACTTCTAGGGCCCA